GCGATCAGCTCGCGGAATGATTCGCCCGAAAAGTTTCTCTCTCAAAGAGTATGAATAAGGGCAGGGGCAAATGTGTATTTTTTGAATGTATGAACGTGGTGAAAGTGATGTCATCGGAACAGTCTCGACAAACTGAGAAAATGGGCTTTGGAATCACCTGATTCTGAGCTGTGGTTGAAAAGATATAGCTAGTTGATTGTTAGGAACCAATCTGTAAACAAAAAATTCACAAACAAGCCCCTAACCGAAATTCAGCTGAAAAAGAAATAAGTGCACTATTTCACTAGGCTCTCTCGGCCTGGAACTTCTACTGTTGCTACTGCTCTACTAGGCTGGGCCCAACTGCACCGTGGGGCTGATGCAGAAGGCGCATTTCGCGTACTGCGCGTCCAACCAAGCGGTAGCCCACTCCGTAGAGTACGCCTCCACTTATCAGACGTGGCAGGGCCGCGGTCGCCGACAGTTGGGTCGCGCACTACCTTCTCTCTCCTTCTCCTCCTTCTTCCTCCTCCTCCTCTGTCTTTTCCCGGCGCCGCGGAAGAGGGCTCCGGCCCTGATGGTCGGCGGGGCTCCGGTGAGCCGCTGATGCAGGCGAGGCCGTAGATGGGTGCACCGGTGAGCACCTCACCCGGTAGTGGGTGGCACATCCGGCAGAGGATGCTGGATATGTGGCGGCGAGGGGAGGCAGTAGGTGGCGAGGCTGCGACCGTGGAGGGCCTAAGGGGGTCGGCGACGCTGGGCGAGCATGGGGTTGGGGTCTAAGTTGAATGACTTTCCCGCCAGTAGGTCTAACTGAATGAGAGGGGTCGTGTTAGAAATATTTGAGTGGAGCTGGCCGGTGGCAATGGTGGCCATGGTGGCGATGTGATGTGATACGTATCCAACGTATCTATAATTTTTGATTGTTCCATGCTGTTATACTATCATTCTTGGATGTTTTACAATCATTTTATATCATTTTTTGATACTAACCTATTGACATAGTGCCCAGTGCCAGTTGCTGGTTTCTGCATGTTTTTTACATCGTAGGAAATCAATACAAAACGGACTCCAAACACAATGAAACTTTTTGAGGAGTTTTTTGGGCCAGAAGACATCCAATGGGCCAACAAAGTAACTAGTTGGTGCCCCGAGGGGGCAGCACCCACCAAGGCGCGCTTGGCGCCCCTGGCACGCCCAGGTGGGTTGTGTCCACCTCGGGTGCCCCCTGAACTGCCTCTTTGCTCTATAAATACCCCAATATTCCAGAAACCCTAGGGGAGGCGACGAAAATCAATTCCAGCCGCCGCAGAGTCCAGAACCACCAGATCCAATCTAGACACCATCACGGAGGGGTTCACCACTTCCATTTATTTCTCTCCGATGATGCGTGAGTAGTTCTTTTTAGACCTATGTGTCGATGTACTAGAGTAGGGGTACCCTAGTACCCCGAACTTGTGCACGGGCAGTTGCAGCACCCCGCGGCAAGGCTTGCCGGGCGACCGCCAAGATCCTCCGTGGTTCCTTTGGAGCCATTCAAGAACAAAGTATTTAAGCTCAGGAGACAAGGCCCCGGCAAGAGGAGCTTGCCGGGAAGGCCAACCA